CTTGGTCTTGGCCACAGTCTTGGTCTTGGCCAAGAGGCTCGTACTCTGTGGAAAATGTGTAGAATTGTTTTAATGGCCGACAATATGGCCGACAACGATGTGTGTGTGTTGTGTGTCGTATGTGTGGAGGGAGGGAGAAGAGCTAATGCAGCTTCGTCAGAAATCGAGCATAAAATATTTTTAATTAAAAACTATTTTTTCCAGCTTGCCATTTCCTTTTCCCCTACGCATAAATCAACTGGCCAACGACGAAGACGACGACGATGACTGCAATTTCTCTAGAATTACAAAGACAATTACACATGAAACGCGAGGAGCCGCCAACGCCCTAGCTGTTGGCCTGGAGATTCCTCCAGATTGGTTTGGTGGAAGGGGTTTGAGATCGGTGGAGATCTCAGATCTGACACCAAGAGAGCGCATCATGATTTGTGGAGCGGCTTAAATAGTGCGAACGGAAATCATGATTAGACGGGCCATTAAAGCCAGCAAAAGAGTTTCCCTTTGAAAAGGGGATAAGTTAAGATAAGTTTGGGGAGACACAGAAAGAAATTCGAAAGACTTAGATACATAAAAAATAAGTTAAAATTTTATACAAATGTATTTCAACTTCAAATTAATATTTTAAGCAAAGAAAATAGGCTTAATAATTGAGATTTAATCAAAAGTATCTGTAAGATACCATTTATGATTTCTCTGAAAATGGCTTAGACACCCACAAAATTATTTAATAAATTTTACAAATATTTTTAAGCTTAAATAAAGGCTTAAAAAGTAAGCTTAAAACCAAAAATCTATACAAAAATCTTCCACATACTTTGACATCTCCAAAATTAACTTCCTTCATTTTCTTTCCGTGCAAAACTCCAAAGACGACCTGACCCAAGGGCCATCTGTTGGCTGTGTGCTCCTTTTTTCGGCCTTAGAGAAACGCCTCCGGGTCTGGGTCTTCAGACTCAAAGCCCTGATGTTTTCATTTCCCGATAAAGGAGCTCCGTAAATGGCACAGACCTTACTTCAACTGGCCAGCGAGCAGAGCTCAGCGCACGCCAACCAACATGGAGATGGCCAAGGCAGATGCAGGAGCCAAGATCGGGATGGAGTTGCACTCGCAGCACGCTGCAGTTGTAGCAAATTAAAAAAATGCAAATGTTGCACGTTGTACCAAGGCAGAGGGACAAGCAGCAGCAAGCAGCAACTGTTTGCCAACTTTATAGACTGACGAGACTCCTCTGGCAGCCTCGCAATCGTGTTCATGTGTCACCAATATGATGTTGTCCAACTCCAAGACCAAGACCAAGCCCCAGACCCAGACCTGACCAGGCTTTAGCTTCAAGTCCAAGAAAAATACAAAGACGATCGAGATAATAGAGAGAGAGCTGAGGCAGAGGCAGCCGGCGGACGGGGGACAAGCAACTGCCATGTCAGGCTGCCCAGGCACACACAGATGGCATCATCATCAGCAGAAGCAGCAGCAGGAGCAGGAGCAGTCAGTAGCCATTGATCCTCCTTGGATCCACCAGTTAACTAGCCCCTTCTCCCTCTCTTTAGCTATAAGTTTGTGTACTATATGTTTTTGTCTGTACTTTTGGCGACATTTCTGAGCATGAATTGTGGCGGCAACAAGCTTATGAAGGGTTTGGGATCAGTATTCAAGACCCTTTTTAATAAATAACCTATAAATTATATATATTAATAAATAAAACTTAATAAATACCATAAAATAAAGAAGAATCTTTACCAAAATAAAGTGTATTCTTTATTATTTTAAACTCCGATTTATATAGCATTTAACAAAATATCGAACTAATTTTTTTACAATTTTAAAGTTGAAATAACAAATTTACTTAACTGAAAATTGCTCATAACTAAGCCAAAACTTAATTAATTTCCATTCGGAAAGCAGTTTTATGTTAGTTTTTACTTAATTTATAAATCTGCGTAATCAGTTTATAAATTTAAAAAATTAAAATTTTTTCAACTTTTTGAGGATTTTGATGATGTAACCCCTTATCAAATTTCAAAAAAATTGCCTAAAATTTGATTTCTTTAAAACATGGCTTAATCGATTCGGCTGTTGATGCTGATCAAGAATATATATGATTTATAGGGTCGGAAATGAGTCCTTCTCCTTCTGCGTTGCAAATTTCTGACTAAAATTAGGATACCCTATATAAAATATATAAACTTTCATATATTTACTTTCTTGTTTAAATCTTTCAATATTTTATTATAAATTAACTAATATTTTAAAGGTGATTCAGAATATATATATAACTTTTGGCAATTATTCGCTTTTTGACCCATTTATAGCTTCAAAAAGATCAGAAATATAAACTTTAAGCTGATGTTTATAGGTATTATTTTCAGGGATACAACAAATTTTAAAAAATCTTGACAGATACTCAATAAAACCTTTACATATATAAAATTAGATAGCAAACTCTACAAGTCTTCCAACATTTTCTTCTATAAATCTTCTATAAAATATATATCACCCAACAAAAAGCTTTTTCCACTTTCCAGTTGAAAATAAATCTATATAAAACATACTAAACGAATACCACAGATATGTTACATTATCCCCCCCAAATTACCCACCTCATGCCTTATTCATGATTAAAATTAAATTAGTCCCTCCTCAAGTTCTCAACTTTCATTGGTTAATTAGTGGAACCGTTTTAAGAGCTCTGCCCCCATTGAGCTGTCATTAATTTGGAGCGCTGCATAAATATGCAAGGGGTGGTAGGTTCCCCTCTTCGGGATACTTATTCCAGCAGGCACGACCAACCGATATATGTATAAGCTCACATTTTGGTATAGCAATTTGTGTCTTAATTAATGTCCCAATCAAGAGGCAGCCAAAATCTGGCCGAAAAATGGGACCCCAGACTCTCTCGGAAAAAAATCTCCATTTTGGGCAACGTCGCGACGATCGGAGACTGCTTCTATATGCATTTATGCATATGTATATACGGGATAAAGGCATATCTGGACGGTCTGGAGCGGGGGTATATGTATGGCTGAGGATTGTTGCTGCAACGGCAGCAAACTCGTTTCGGTGCTGGGCACTAAATTAGTTGGCTTCACCTCCGCATCGCCGTTGCATTTCCAGACTTTCAATACAATTTTGTTTGGTTCGTTCTTAATTTCGATGGAGTCAATTTTATTGCCCTCCAGCAGCATGCAGCAGCCAGAAGACAGCAGACAGGAGTAGGGGGAGGGGCAGAGTAAGGGGCTGGGACAGAGGCCAGGGAAAAGGGTTCTGGACCAGGTAGCCCCGCTAAGTAGTCGCCATTGCAGTGGATGCTTAGGCCACGTCTCTGCACAGAGAGAAAAAGGGTCATGAAATGTTTATTCATTTTATTTTCTTATTTTTATACCCTTGCAGGGTATTATAATTTCAGTCAGAAGTTTACAACGCAGTGAAGGAGACGTTTCCGACCCTATAAAGTATATATATTCTTGATCAGCATCAACAGGGGAATCTTTCTAGATATGTCAGGAAGAAATCGATTTTTTTGCCATTTTTGCAAAATTTTATAAGGGGTTACATCATTAAAATTTTTGATTTTGATAAAAAATTGAATTTTCAAAATTTTTAAATGAAGTATGCAGATTTATTAACTGTAGAAAATCTTGCACAGAAACGTTTTCCGATTTAAAATTAATGCTCTTTTGGCCGAGTTATGATATTTTTAATTAAAAAAAAATCAAGAAGTTTTTTAATATACAAAATCCGATTTTATAATACAAAATAATATTTTTCTAAGTCAAGGAATCATTTCCGACCCCATAAACCATATATATTCTTGATCAGCATTAACATGCGAATCTTTCTAGACATGTCCGGAAGAAATCGATTTTTTGGCCATTTTTGCGAAATTTGATAAGGGGTTACATCATTAAAATGGCCAAAAATTTTGATTTCTTAAAATTTTAAATTTGGTATGCAGTTTTTTTAAATTAATAAAAACTAACACAAAACTGCTTTCCGAATCGAAATTAATGCATTTTTGGCTTAGTTATGATATATTTTAATTGTTACCTGCAAGGGTATACAATCTTGGCTGGCCAAAGTTAGCTTTCTTTCTTGTTTTTATTTATTTATATTTGGATTTAATTTTGATAAAGTCTTGCACAAAAATTGATTTAATTTGTTTTAAATATTCTTTCCTTTATTGAAAGTCTCTTTAAAAATGTGTTAAACTTTTATTTTAAAAATTCTTCTGGAAAACTTACAGCTTAAAGAACTTTCCACAACCATAAACTTCTTGATTTTTTTGTCTCAGTGATTAGTCACAGTATGTCGTCGTTGGCTGGGAGCCCAGTTAATTTGGTCATCTTCCATGATGTTTTGATAATGTGGCTGGAGCTGGAACTGCGGACCCAATCTGCCGCCAGTCGTGGGGCTCCTCCGCTGCAGTTGCCCTCCTCAGGCTCCTCCTCCTCTAGAGCTCCTCTTCTTGAGCTCCTCTGAAACTCTTTTTCTTATTTTGTTCGCTGCTGGGGCTGCGCACGAAATTCTTGTCGCCGCGAATAATTACATAAATCAGCGATTTTTAAAGCGTTTCGAGTTTCCAACTGTCAATACTCCCCAACCGAACCGAAAACAGAAACCCAGAAAGTAACAAAAAATAAAGAACGAGAGATACTTTGTCAAAACTCCCAGAGCTTGTCGGCTTTTTGAGCGCTGATTACTAGAGATTATAAGCAGCTAAAAAAATATTAACACCTCTCTGGAGTTCCCACACAAAAATCACAGATTTCTGGCTAAAAAAGGAAGCTTTCACACCTACATAAAAAATACAGAAGGGTTCTAGGGTGTCTTCTGCTTGGCCAATCTGTCAGCAAATTCAAATTTAACACAAAAGAAATGATTTATAAGGGCCTTCTTTTGATGCTACTTGATTGATTTTAGGAGCTGAAATTGGTTTGGGAAAGTAATAAAAAATAAGGTTTATGATACCATTTCCGTATACAAAAAAAAACTCCATAAGTTGTTAAGTTTTATATGATTTACTTATATATTTTCCATGTGCACAAATGTCGAAAATGTAGCCCCACCAAAATGTATGAATTTGTGTTTAATTTCTGTGTAATTTTTTCAGTTTTGTAATGTTTTTTGTTTTGTTTTTTTATATGATTTTTCTTTTCGTTTAGCAAATGTGGCTATTCCCCTCACAATCATAATTACGGATGCTTGGTTATCGAGTATATCTCATCCTTGGTTTAAATATTTTATTGTTGCTGTTGTTGTGTGTTAATGAGTAAGTTTTACGTTCACATATTATGCATAGTTTTTGTTTATATATTTTAAAATATATATATTATATATATATCTATATCTGTATCACCACGAACACACACATAATAAATACAAAATCAAGTTTCCTTTATATGTTTCATGCAGTTTATTGTTTATGGCTATGGATCATCCTTCTGCCATGGCTTTATTTATCCTTTCTGATTTTTATTTTGTAATTATTGCAACTGTATGAATGCCAATAACATGCTTCACTTCGATCTTAGGCTATATATATTTCTTATATACAATGTACACATGCATGCGGAGGATTCCTATTTACACAAGCAACAACTCATTAGTATCTCTTCTGTGGTAAAGTACGGTTCCAAATAATATATGTATATTTTCGTTCAACACTCTTTACAAACTATAATTCCCAACTAATTCTGTATCTGTATCTGGTATCTCTGTTATTGGTAGGTAGTTCTGTTCTGTTTTTCGATTTCTTTTGAATTATTATCTTCTCGCCTTTTTTTTGTTTTTTCATTTTTCAATTATTATTGTGCTGCACTGCAAATGAGTTTTTCGTTTGATTTATTCAAAAAATGTTATGTAAATATCATTGCTTTCTGCTAATTGGTATGCTTCTTCTATTTTCTCTGTGTGATTTATATAGTAAATGTATATATATGTAACATCGGTCGAGTGAGTCTCGAGTCTATTATATGTGACTATATCTCCTCTTTATGTACAGCTAAAATGATGCCTGACTGCCTTCTAATACTGTCCTACTCCGTCCAGGAGTTGCGCTTTAGATTCCGCTATGGATATGGCGGGTAAGTGTCATAATGCCCAGTGTTATAGTGTTATAACGCCCATTTTCCTAAAGAATAATGTCCTGAAGCCCAGTTATCATATTTCTCAGTGTGTAAGTAAAAGAAAAATATTCGTATAATACCCAGTCATTATAACACTTTTTCAAGCTTGAAGGCATTATAACACTTACCCGGGATATGTGAACCCCTATTTATCCTTCCTCCAAGGGTTCTCCCCCCACAACACCCTCTTCTGTGTTGATTATTTTAATTTAAATTAGCAATTTCAATTTGATTTTCAACTTTGTATTTTGAGACTTGCCAAAAAGTTTTACGGTTTACGATTGAAAGAGTTACCAAACACTACAGTACAGTGAGTATCCATCCGAAACTTGTATTATAAGACTTGTGTTCCAATTGAAGGGACAATTTACACGGTATAAATAATTTAATACATTTAATTTAATCATTTTTTGTTGCATTCCATTTACATTTTACTTCCTTTTCGAGTATAATTGTTTAGCTCTAGTCTTTAATATATATATTTACGCGTTTTTAGATACAAATGTTTTATAAGTACAAAATACATGTTAAAAACTTAAATGAGCAGCGTGGCTTCCTCTTCGTTGATCCTTTTTAAAATTAAACGCAAGCTTTGTGCCCCAAAAAAAATACTGTGGATCGTTCTCGTGTGGGTTTTGGAAATTGGGGAGACAGACTTTTGTACGTGCTCAGCGTCAGCGTGTCAGCGGTCTCCTCCTACTGTTTGTAAATGGCTTCTTATGCTTTAAGATTAAGTTTCAATATATATAATTAAATAGTTATTGTTTATGCTTTTTATATATAAAAACTAAATACAATTTGTCGCTTGCTCGCTTGTTCGCCTTGGCTGTGGTGATTTCGAAGCTTGAACGTATTAGGACGTTGAATACTCTCGCGTGTCTATATACCTACTATATCTATATATATATAAATATATATTATATATTAATTGTGTGCTTTCTATTTCTACATCTGTATTCCCCCTATTTATGTACAATCTCTGCTGCTGCTCCTTAAACACTAATCTCTAATCTCTTGACCAAAATTGTGCTGCTTCTGTTAATGCTGTTGTTGTTGTTGTTGAAGTCGTAGATGTTGCCTCCACTTCGGCTTCCTTCTGCTCATCCTGCTCTTCATCCTCCTGCGACGTGCCTATCAAGGTCACCATCTCAATGGGATGTGTGGCAGTTCCAGCCATGCTGCTGCCTGCAATGGTGGCTGCATTGCCACAGGATCAGGAGTGCTTGTCCGTCAGCTCATTCCAACGCAACTCAAAGAACTTGCGCATCCCATGACCGGCCTTGCCCACGGGTGAATCATCCTCGTTGAACATTTCGCAATTGTCAAAGATCTGCCGGACATCGACGCAAAAGTCCTCGCGGGTCTTGTAGCTGCAAAGGAAGACAAGGGTTTGGGTTTATAAGACAATATATTCGATAATAGATTCCTTAATAATTATATTTATTTCTTTAATATATTTTAAAAATCGATATCTATTTTTTTAAAAATCAATATCTGTTTATATGTACAGAATTTTGTAATTTTCCTCGTGTTTTTTTCTGTAAACTCACCTCAAATCCATTAATCTCTTCTTGATGGTGGACAAATCCATGGGAGATTTAATTATTTTGCGATATGTGGGAAACTGTTTGGTGTTTACAGGCAACAAAAAAGGCCAGGAGTCCTCATGGAGCTGCAATTAATATAAAATTCCTCATAAGTTTTAATCTTTCAAAAGGTTTCTAGTTAAAAAGCCCACCTCCATTTCCCCTAGTAAAGTCTTGCACACGGCCAGCTCCTTCATCAGCTTCTTGGTGGCATGCTTCTCCTTCTTCTCCTGCTTCAGCTTCTCCTTGGCCTCCTGCATGGCATGTATGTTGATGGGCGGCGGTGACATTTGTGTGCCCGCTCCAGCTGCTGGCGGCGAGGGCATGGTCATCAGCTGCTGCTGATGATGTTGTTGGGGCGGCGACTGGCAGGCGGTTACATGAAGGGCGGCGGCATGGGTGGTGGGCGAGGCCTGCTGCATTATCAGAGGCGTTGGCGTCGGTGGCGGCTGCAAAGGCCCGGGTGGCGGCGGAGGTGGTGTAGGCACCGGGGTCGGCGTTGGTGTTCTGGTGCGCGTTGGCGTAACAGCACGCGGCGACATGGCAAATTGCATGGCCGTTGGCACTGGCGCCGCCGCTGTTGCAAAGCTACCAGCTCCAACTAATGATGGATAAGCGGCGGCTACTGGATAGCCGGGCATCACATCCTCCGTGCCATTGTTGTTGTTGTTTGATGTTTGAAAGCGGCTGCTGCCATCGACCGAATTGGTGTTGATGTTGATGTGCGCCGAAGGCTGCTGCTGCTGGTCATCGTAGGTCGTTACCGAGGCCACCGAATGCGCCGGACTGCAGAGGCAGAGGCAGAGCTGCATTATAAACTGGACCCGGGACCTTGTCGTCCACCGCCGCCCCCTCAGCCGCCCGCAGGCCCCCCACACACTCACCTAAGCGGTGCCGCCGTCGATAGCGAATTCATGGACTCATCGTGCGAGGAATTCAGCGACTGATGATGATGATGCTGGTGATGGGAGTCACCACCTGCCAGTGGCTGTATTTGTTGCTGTTGCATCTCCAAGGCTCCTCCATGCGTCGGCTTGCTGCTGCGCTTGGCTGTCGCCGCTCCACCTTCCCTTTCACGGTTGTCCCTGTCCCGATCTCTTCTAGACTTGCTGCTGCTGCTACTGCTACCGCCGCCGCCAGTGCTGCGCTTCTTGGGCGGTGGGGCACGAGAGATGCAGCCATGGCAATACCATTTCCCACGCGGCACCTTCAAGAGGGGAGGTATATAGCAGTCGGCATGATAGGCGCGCGGACACAAGTCACAGTAGATCATCTTGCCCACGGGCGAGGGACGATGGCCACCGCAAACGATGCACTTGCGCTCATTGGTGGCCTTGTTGACGCACTCGTAGCAGTACCTGGAAGGAAACCAGAGATTACAACCTTTTCCAGAGTATTTAAAAGAGCAGGGATTTAAGGAACAGAGAGAGAGAGAGAGAGTGCCACACACAGTATTCTCAACGACGGTTAACGATCAACGATCAAAAAACGCTCAACAAGACAACGCGGATTAATGTGTGAGGGATGACTGAGCAGGAGGAGTGGGAGGATAGATAGATCGATATACTCACCAATCGCCATCGGGTATGTTGTCCATCTTGGGCTTGAAGCAATACGTGTGATAGCCCTTGTCGCAGCCATCGCATAGGAGAAGCTTATCCTCGTTCTCGCCGGAGGTGCAAAACTGGCAGTTCTGTAAGGAATATTTCGAATATTTTCTAGAGTTTAAGGAGGAGGAGGAGCGTCTCTTATTATCCTTCTTGGTCGGAGTTGGTGTTTGTGGTGTGACAAAGTCCGAGTCGGAGTCCGGGGATGAGGATGAAGTAGAGGATTGGGTTTGGGTTGGGTTTTGATTGGATTTTTGATTCGATTTCTGCTGTTCCAGCTGCTCCAGGGCCTTTAGATTGATTTTGATGCTTAGTGGTGACTTCTTTTTGGGTGTCTTTTTTGGGGTTTTCCCATTCCCGTTCATCTCTGGCTCATTTTCCTGTATATTTTTCTTTTCTTGCTTCTTTTTGGGCTGCTTTCGCTTCGTTGCCTGCTTTTGGGCGCTGCCCTTCTTCTCCTTCTTGCTGGACTTGTTTCTTGTTGCATACTTTTCGGATGCCAAGTTCGAATGAAGTCGAAGTTCGAAACGGTCATTTTGGGGTAGGGGAAGGTGGTGTTTGGTGGAAGGGGTAAAAACAGTCGTGGTGGAATTCGTTTTTTTCGGTTTTGTAACGGTAATGGGTAACGGGCAGAACATAAGCATTCATGTTTAAACATGTGTGTATGTGGTGTTATATGCATGTAAGTGTGTGTGTGTAAGTATTAAGCAGTTTTTTAGTTTTTTTCAAAACACCATGAAACACCACAAAAGAACAACAACAAACAAGTCGAGCATTCAGAGCAAGAAGACAGTTTTTTTGTTTTTTTTTTTTTTTAAGAAATTAACAAAAAATAAAACCATCCGAAGAAGACAAAGAAACAAAGAAAAGAAAACATAATTTTGAATTAATTTTCAGGCTTTAAGTTAAAATGTAGCAAGTTAGTGTGTATCTTAATAAATCTAGATAAATTTATATGATTAACTACTGTGGAAGACTATAAAAGAAGGTACGGTTGCTAAGATCAGAAGTAAGCACTTTGAAAATTAAAAAAAAAAATATATTTTTAGAGTTAAAGATAGTTTTAAAAAGTAAAATCATTTATCTTTTTAATTATAATAGAACAACAATATTTATGCAATTTAATTTTCTTTCAATTTATAGATTAAAAAAAATATTTAAGCAATTTAAAATAACAACTATCATGAAAATTAATCTAAAGTATAATAAAACCATAAAAAAAACCATTTAACAACCATAAACCATGAAAATAAATGACTTTTCTAATTATAGAATAAAACCCACATTTAGGCAATTGAATTTTTGTTTAAAAAAAATATTTGGGCAATTTAAATGAAATCTTTAAAGAAAACTAATTTTAAATAAAATAAAAACCAAAAAAAATAATTCAACAACCGTGAGCTAATCATTTTTACCTTTAATTCGTGTTAGTTGTGGTCATTACAGTTTTGGCAAGTGTGTAAAAAGTGTACGTGAGTAATGTGTTAATGGATAATGGTGTTAATGAGTAAGTGCAGCCAAAAACAACGGGGAGATGGGACACTAAAAAAAATTTGGGAAGGTGGTGCCAAGCAGGGGTCTAACAAAATCAAAAAAAGTTCCTCCAAACCCTAGCTTACCGCTTTCATGATGCTCTTGTCCCAGGCCACACAGGATTCCAGGACGTACAGGGCCATAGCCAGCTGGGCGGTGGTGTGGGATCGCGACACTGCATCCCGCCACTGCACCAGGCCCTTGGGTATATTCTCCACCTTCTCATCGCGATCGCTGTCACAGTTGCTCGCCGGCGAGGCATTGCCCGAGTTGGCTTCCGGATCACAGGGTGTGGTAACGCCTCCTCCACTGGGATTCACTGTTGCTGCTGTCGAGGAAGCTGCTGCTGCTGCTGCCAGAGCCATGGTTCGTTCATTAAAGGATGAGGGATTGAGGCTATTGTTGCCTGATCCTTGCTGCGCCTGCTGCTGCTGCTGTTGGGCCAACTGTTGCTGCTGCTGCTGTTGCTGCATCTGCAAGAGATATGCTGCAGCCGATGCCGAGTTCTGGGTCTGAGTCGTCGTATGCTGATTCTGGGCAATCACCGCCAAGTGAGCGTCGCCTGTCTGGGAGCCCAGTGGTGGCTTCAAGTAACGCCGCTCGATGTTGGCCTCTAAATCTATGATCCTCTCCCGTATCATGGGTATAATGCTCACAAAGTCCTCCTCGGTGACATCCTCCTGGCTGGAATCAAGGGTTAGTTCGCTTTCCACGCGATTGGGCAGCTGCCAATTCTTTAGCTGCATCGAAGCACTGGCCACCTTATCCTCCAGCGACTCGAGTTGCTCCAGCAAAGCCAGTTCCACACGCTTGGCCACCTTGGGGTTCCAATCGCCAGCCTGGTCGGGCATCATGTACTCCTCCGAGTGCTCAGGATCAGCTTTAAGTTGATAGCTCACGCCCAGTGGCTGTTCCAGGCCGAGGAACCTTTGGAGATTCTCCTGGAGTTCACGTTCCCTCAACCCAGAGGGATTCAGGGTTTTGAGGAGCTGACGCAGCTTCTGATCATCGTCCAGCTGCCACCAGCCGTAGCGCTGTCGCCGGGGCACATAGACGCCATGAACGCGCTCGGGGAACCCTGCTAGCTTCACCTGCTCCAGCAGACGATGCTCGTCCGGGGTCATGGAGAGCGGCAGCGGTATGTCAATGGGTATGTAGGTCTGGACACTGCTCAGCGACATGTTGGCTATGTTGTGGTAATAGGCCTGCGATAATGCCTCATCCAGGCGCAGCTCAATCTTGGGCTTCACGTCCCCGGCTGCTGCTCCTCCTCCTCCTCCTCCTCCCGTGTCCGGCGGCACATCAGAGCGCAAGCGAAAAAACTTGTCCTTACTCGCTCCGGTTAGCTCCTCAGCATCCACTTCCCCGCCTCTGGCTACTATCTCCTTCAGCTTGGTGGCCCTCATCTCCTCATCATCTTCAGTCTCATCGTGGACATGGTGGCGATGAGGAGAGCCCAGACCGTTTTTTGACTCCACCTTGCTGCTGCTGCTGTTGTGGTACTCCTCAATTTTGGCCAGCATTTGCTTCTCGTCGAGGCCGCTCAGCGAGAAGATGCATTCGTGGCCAAGCTTCCCGGCATCCACCTTGCACTCGTCCATGGGTATGGAATAGTATTGCATGTTGTTGATTAGATCCCAGGGATGACCCTGCAGCTGCAGCTGAGCAGAGCAATTATGATTGGCATAGCCATGCTGGAGTTCCTGGGCCACCTGGCCGCCCTCCTCCGCTGGCAGTTCGCTAATCAGTGGCACTTCACGGCGGACAATGGAGAACCATTTGGGTGTGTCATCCACACTCGAAGTCGAGACTATTATGCAATCATCTTCCTTTTTAAGATCCTCCATTTTGATTACATTTTGTCCCAGACCCAAGCCAGTTTCCAACTTATCACAGTTGTTGCTTCCATTGTTGTTGTTGTTATTATTGCTATTGTTGTTGTTGTTGTTGAGAGTGGCTGTGTTGGGCGGCATCAGATTGCCGGGCATGGCTGGTATTTTGATCTCCGCCTCGAAATCGGTCTTGGTGGCTATCATGGTCGTTGGCGGTGGACCCATTAGCTCCATTTCGGACTTGACCTTGATTTCGGGTCGGGGTGGAGGAGGTTCCACCTTTGGCGGAGGCGGCACATCATCATCATCATCGCCTAGATCTACAATCTCAGGTTCCACCTTGTTGATTTCTGTGACATCGTCGTCGTCATCATCTTCGTCGTCATCGTGGCCTTCAACCTCTTTGTTGTTCTCTTCTCGATTTGCATCCTTTTGTGGTGGATTCTCCTCGTTGTGCTGTCCTTCCTCGTTAGCTTCATCCACCTCCATGGGCTGCTGCTCCCCTTCATCGGCATGGTTTTCCTGCTCAGCACTATCCTTATCTGCCTTTTCCTTCTCCTCCTGCTCCTTCTCATCTGCACCTACACCTTCCTCCTCCTTCTTCTTATCATCCATGCCCTCCAATGCCTCATGATAACCGCATATATCATTCTGCGCCGACTCCAAGGCTTCTATAAATATACCACCCGCCTTGGGCAGCTTCCAGTAGCGACGCCAGAAGCGATCCTGACCAAAGCAGGCCGCTCTCAGCTGATTGGTGCTCTTCTCCAGCGCCTCCTTGCAGTTCAAAGAAGCCCTTACAATCTTGTCCAGCTTCTTTTGCAACTCATCGGCGCTTAGGCGATTGTCCTCGTCCTCCTCCACATTGGTGATCTCCGAATCAAGATCGGAGAGATCATCATCAATGATGCTCACATCGTGATGATGATGATGATGATGTTCATCGTTAATGGAATTGCGGGCTCCGCTTTTCTTAGCCTGCAGCAAGGCATCGGCAGCACCTCCACTGGCCGTGGTTGTTGGTGTGCTGGAACCGTTGTGCTGATAGGTGGGCGTGGTGGTTATATCCTGTTTACTGGGCGTTAGCTGGACATCCACTTGCTGGCTCAGACTCTTGGCGGGACTTACCAGGGAGTCCTCATCCGCCACGCTGTCTACTTCCATGGGTTGCGCCGACTGCTGCTCCTTGATGGGTGTGGCTTGTTCATCCTGTTCTTGATCCTCATCTTGGGGCTTTCCACCATTCGGTGAGTTAACCTTGGCTACAGCTTCTCCATCGACTCCCCCGGCTTCAGCTGCCGCCTTGGCCGCCTCCTCCTCTTCGGCTGCCTGCTGCTTCTGTCGTTCGGCATCTAGTTTCTGTTGCGCCACCAGGGCCTGCATGGCCGCCTCCCGTTCCGCCTGGGCCCGCTCATACGCCTCGATGCGTGCCTTGCGCATATGCAAAGCCTTGTACTTGCGCACCTTCATGTCCGTCATGTACTTCTCCTTGCGCATCTGGGCGCAGGTCTCCAGGCTGCCATCAATCTGGCGCAGCACGGCCTTGTTCATCAGCAGATCGTTGCACAGGTGGGCGAGCATTTGGGCCTTTCGGGTGGGATTCAAAGCCACAAAGGGACGATCCTTGAGCGATTGCGAAAGTTTCCAGGTGTCGTTTTCATGGAGAAGCTTGTAGTACTCTTGATTCTTGGCCGAATGCGAGTGTGTGGTCGAGTCCGCGTCCAACTGATGATGATCGGGCACTCGTCGCTCTCGCTCTCGGTCCACAGTAATGCCATGCATTTGCCGCACTTCACCCGTGGCCGTGGCATACAGATAGATCCTCAAGATCTCCGAAACATTCGAGTTTGTAATGTCAGCATTGCGCAACGACTGACCAAGGAGTGTGGTATGTCTTCCGGGATTGGGCACACCGGGATCCTCAATGGCACACACCAGGAGGTGCGTCATCACGGACAGCAGCTCCTCCTCGGCATCGGCGCAACTGTCACTGATCAGCGCATCGTGTAGATTCTGTAGGGAAGGCAGTGACTCCATGTCAAAGCCCAGAGTCTCGCCAAAGTTGTGGAGGAACTCAAAGACCATCAGCAGATCGGCCATAGCCTGGCCGGGCAGACGGTTGCCGGCAATGCGTTCTAGCTCTGGTATGACCAGCTCTTGAGGCAGCTCCGAGTCCTCATTGGGTCGCCGTATCAACTGCAGGATCTCTGCATCCCGCTTTCGCTCGGCCATGCGGCGTTCGCGCAGGAGCAGGCGATCTAAAACCAACTGATGCTTCTTCTTTTCGCGCTCCTCGAACTTGCGACGCAGCTCCAGCATTCGGATTAGGTTCATGTGCTGGCGTCGACGCTCACGTTCCTTTTTAGATGAAAAATATATTTAAAATTTAATTTGATTTTGTTTATTTTCAGGTTAAAAATCTTCAATTTCTTACCATTTCAGCAGCTAGTAGCATTTCCTTTTGTTTCTGCATTTCCTAAAGTAAAGTTTAGGTAAAAAAAAAGGTTTTTATTTAATAAAATCAAAGAAATAATTAACTGATACTGAGAGCAGGTAATGATGTTGAGCTGGCAAAACGCAAAAAAAGCTGTAAAATCCTTAAAATCGAGCTAGGAAAAAATGTATTTTCAATGCTTAGATTTGTTTCTTCTTTTAGAATATAATATTTATTTTTTAATTCCATAAGATCCTATAAACATTACCTGCCTTCTCTGGTATCAGTACATAAAGTGTAAAGATTTTAATATTTTAAGAATAAATGCCCACAAAATAAATTTAGATAAATAAAGCAATTCTTAAAAGCTCAATTTAAAAAGCATAAACCCAGAACTCGTGAATATGTGGAAGAAACTCTTCCCCTTTTGATGTATATTTCTTTTCCTTTCGTTATCGGTCCTTGTTTAAATAAATTTACAATTACGAATTATTCTTTTTGCCCTCCTTCATAATCCAGACCCATGATCAAATCCTCTATTAAAACCCAAAAATGTTATAAACTTTTATTTTCGAGCTCTGGGATTAAACAGGATCCCCCGCCAAAACGGATAAAGAACGGATTACGGATTACAGATTTCAGAACATCAGACAGAACTGGGAGTTTCCAAAAGGCTTTATTGTGTTTGTTTTGTACCTGTTCCTTAGCTAAAATGGCCTCCTGACGACGCTTCTCTTTCTCCTAAATTATGCAGCAAAATAAAATACAACAAAATAATGCAGATTATGCAGAGATTCTGGCACAATAAGCAAGTCAAATATACTAACCTGTTGCTTTTTGAGCAATTCCTCCTGCTTAAGGCGATCCAATTCCTCCTGACGCTTTTTGCGTTCCTACAAATTAAAATAATAATTTAATTATATTTAATTTAATTTAAAAACAATTAATAAATAGCCACCTCAACAGCCTGCTGATTCTTGAGCTCCTTCTCCTTGCGCTGCTGCTCCAACTTGGCATTCTTTTCCTGCCTTGCCTTTTCCTTGTTCCTGGCCAGCTCCTCCTTTTGCAGCTTCTTGGCATCCCGCATTGCCTGCTGCTGCTTGGCTATCTCGATGCGCTGCTCCACATTGAGGGTTTGTCGGGTAAATACCTTCAGATCCTCCAGCCGCTTGGCCACATCCTCGTCCGTCATTCGTATGTATTCGCCATCATTGGCATATGGCGGTGGTGCGGGCTGTAAAAAGGATCCAACGATGGCTCGCGCTGAGAAGCTAAAGTTCTCACGACTCAGATTCGAGGGCTGCTGTTGCTCCAGGATCTGTGGGGAGTAGAGGAAATTATTAGTTTCAGTATCAAAGATAGGGTGGAAAGAGAGAGAAGGGTTTGTGTGTTCCAAGAGTTTATTTTGTTTTTAAATACAATTTTCGCCCTACAAACTCACAGCAAAAACCTGTCCAATGCTCTTCAAAGGCGTTGAACTGCCGCCCGGCGCATAGTAGGTGACTTCACCACGGATTTGCCCCTGTTTGGTCAGGCCACGGATCACGGTTTCCCGCTTCCAGCCCAGTTCCAGGGGCACCCTTAGCTCTGCCACATTCAGGATATTGGCATCCTCCGACTCCGACTCTGAGAGGCCACTTTCGGCAGCCACACTTTCAGAATCCGTAGAGGTTTCCATGTGGGCATTGGCCTCGCTTAGAGCCAATCGGATTTTTTCCTGGAAAATACGAAGATATAATTATTTAATTTTAAAAAATTCTCTCCATGATCAACTTACTATATCTGCTCCTTGTTGCAGCAGCTGCTGCGTGGCCAGCATGGGCTTCAGGCCCACGGCTCGGGATTGAGCCAGAAGAGAGGCCACAGTGTTCTTTTTGGGCTTGGACACGCCACGTCCCAGATTTCTAGGACGTCCCTCCTTGTAAGAGGAGGAACCGCCACCGCCAGAACCCGATCCTGATCCTGTGCCCGCACCTGCAGGAGCTGGAGATGTGCCACCGCTACCCGAAATAGAACCACCTGGCATGCCGCCAGCTGTTCCGCCCAAGGCCGCTGTTATAGAACTCAAGCTCTGCAGGCTATTCCCACCCTGACCGCCACTGGCCACCGCCTGATAGTCACTGGCCAAGCTTGCCAGCGCTGCACTGGAAGAAGAGGATGAAGCTCCACCGCCAGAAGAGGGATTGGTGCTCTTATCCGACGGCTTCATGGAAAGATTGAGCGGTGCATCGAAATCATCAATGGTGATGGGATTCGAGGCAGAGCCCACAGCTCCCGCTGGTGGCCCCGAGGCATTGGCATTGTTGGCCTTCAAACTGAGATTTACACCGCCGGAAGTGGGTGCATGATCGGTGGTGGTCAGGTCATGGATCTCCTTGCCCTTGCTGGACAGATTGTATGCGCCATTGGAGGTGATGGTTGGTGGCAGTTTGATGACCTCCACGCGGTCACTGGAGGAGCTTTGATTGAGCAGATTGCTTGCCGTGGCCGCAGAGGAACTGGAACTGGTGGTCGTCGATGAGCTGGCCTTGCTCACGCTCAATTGATCGAGGGGATTGCCCACGCCTTGTAGTCCCGCAAGTCCAGCCATACCAGAGATTCCTGCTGCTCCAAGCATTCCCTGAAGCTGGGCCTGCTGCTGCGCTGCTTGCTGCTGCTGTTGCTGCTGCTGTTGCTGGTGGTGATGATGATGCTGCTGTGCCTGCTGCGCCTGCTGATGCTGTTGCTGTGCGGCCGCCGCCATTGCTGCATACTCCATTTCGAGTCTAGCCCGTTTGGCGGGACTGAGACCTGGAAATGCAAGCAAAGAGGAAATGGCATTTGTGGTGCTATCGAGCTCTTTTTGTGCTTGTTGTTGTTGGAGTAAGTGTTGTTCTGCTTGTTGGTGTTGTTGTTTTGTGGTTTCTGTTTCGGATATAGTCTTTTTGCGACCACGCGATGTAGTACCAGGTATCTTGGGTCCCACGATGGAAGATGTATACTTGATAATCTCCGTGTCTGGCGGCAGGCGTACTCCAAGCAAAGAGGGATGATCACTGCCAGAGCTGTTTTGAGAAATTATATATATTAAAATAAGAGAAAAAATAAAGGGATTATCCAAGCTGTTCCTTACCCCATCATGTAATCCTTGGCACTGGATCCCTTGCCTCCGGAACCCGAGCCACTTCCACCCAATTGCTGCTGCTGGGAGGCGGAGGATGAGGAATGCGGCGAGGAGGTGATCGTGGACGAGGGCGGCGCCACTCCAGTACTAGCCGCAAACGCATTCATGGCCGCCTGCATGCTCTGCTGGGGCGTCATCCCCAAAGCTCCAAATTGTGACAACGAGTTGAGGGCATTGAGTGATGGATTGTTCTTGTCCCGATCCTTGCCCGATGATGCGGAAGAGGACGAGTGTGGTGACATCAGGGGATTGCTGCCTGACAAACTGGGATGCATGCCGCCCAGCGATGCATTGCTGGCACTGACACTTGTGGAAGCCTTGCCGCTTGACATGATGCCGCCGCTGCCGCCCATTCCCATGCCATGGCTGTGCAGAGAGGAGGAAGAGGACGACCCTCCGCCTCCACCGGATTTTTTGGACGAAGAACCGCCGCCTGAGCCCGAACCGGAGGAGGCAGCGGCTGCCACGGCCTGCATGGCCAGCAGTTCCTTGTGCAAAGTCACCGGATCGTAGGCAGAACCGGGATTACTGGCCATGCTGCTGCTGCTCGTCATGGTCGAGGGTTTGCCATAGGCACTTGCCGTGCTCTGGAAAGGAAAAGGTATACAATTAATTACATTTTTAAGGAAATAAACCTAAACTCACCTTGTAGCCGCCGTGCCCGCTGTTGGTGGATATTGAACCGCTGCCCGTGCTCACCGACTGCGGCATGCTGGTGCCCGGCACCACGCCAAACCCGTGCATGCTGGCCAAGGCAGCCGCTGGATTATTGGCCGCCGCAGCTGCCGCCGCTGCTGCTGCCGCATTTAAGCTGTTGGCCAGACTCTGTTGCTGCTGCTGTTGCTGTTGGGCTGCTCGCTTTTCCTTCCGCGACTTGTTCGATTTGCTGCCCGAGGAACCAGATGATGAGCCGCCATTGCCACTAGCACCGCCAGCACCACCTGCTCCTAGCACACCGGAACCTCCGCCGCCGCTGCCACCGGAACCCCCCGCTCCAGCACCTCCCATGCCCATGGCAGCTGGGCCAAAGGCGGCAGCCAGATCGGGATGGGGAAAGGGCGAGAGGCCAGAGGCCTGCAGGCGGCTGAAGTAATCCTGGGCAGCTAGTTGGGCCATGGACCACCAGCCTGCAAAGGGTGAGCAGAAAATTTAATTAGAAAATGTGATTAAATATTAATATTATATATTTTTCCTATAAAATACTTTATAAACCAAAAAAAATAAATAAGAAAAAATTATGCTTGACCATTTTTCACTGCCCCTGCTCAAGTGCATTAATTTTTGGGCAGTGTAAAGCTAATGGCAAGCCACTAAAAGCGCTTTTATAGGAGACTTTTCTTCAAATGCCTAGCATGGCTAACCAGACATTTGCTGTTTAACTCCAAATAACACATAAATTACAGGGGAATTACTTTAAAGATAAAAAACTTATTTCGGGCGAGTGGGAATCGAACTCGCTTGCGGATATTAGCATATCGCGGCGAGGGACGCTTTAACGCTCTGCGCCATAAGCAAGCATCCGCGAAATTGTTGCTGCTGAAAACTCTACTAAAACATACACAGTGGTTTTTGGTGGTGGAATGTGCCGACATTTTACTCACTTGCTGGATGCAAACCGGCCAAACTGGCCGCCTGTGAAGCTGCCACCGCCATGGTGTTCTGATGATGATGGGCTCCCGCCGCCGCCGCTGCGGCAGCGGCCATCGAGTACCGATCGTTGGCAGCAGCGCCTGCTGCATTTGGTAGCAAACCCAATCCTGCAGCGGCGGCGGCATTGAACTGTGAGTTGAACAGCGGATTAGAGGCCGCTGCAGCGGCTGCCGCTCCAGTGGGATCACGGCCCCAATAAGCTGAAAGTTAATGGATATATTAGTATATATTTGGGGATTATCGGCTGTATGGACTCACCAAAGAGAGAGGCTGCATCTAGAAGGCCGGTGGGATCGTGTGGCCCCCCGGCTCCAGCGCCACCGCCTGCATTCGAGTTTTTGTTGGAATTTTTGCCATCGTTTCCGCTGCCATCGCCGGCATTTTTGTTCATGTTCAAAAGTACCCTTTAATTTTTAACCCCAACTATTGTTGTGTGTGCGTTACATGCGTTGCGAGTCTGCAAGAAATATTGTTGAAAAAATAAATGGTTATTATTAGAGAAAACAAAAAATATTGTTATTAAGTTGTTATTATTTACTAAATAAAATGGTTTTTGGCTTTCTAATTTTTTTTCTATAATTAATAAATTTTATTAATTAGAAAGTTAACACATTGAAGCCTTACTGTAATTAATTTATGAATTAATACTAAGGCAACACAACAACTATTCATTAATCACTTTATTTCTCTCCTCCTTTTTTTCTTCTTTTTACTCCACTCTCTGTGCTGGCAATGCCGCAACGCTTGGACGAAACTCGAGCACAAAGCAGAAACGGCCGAAATATGAAAAGCAAAACAAAACTAAAAAAACTACACGCCACAAAACGGAAGCAGAAGCCGCGCTAGTGTGCGTGAGAGCGGCAATGGCGGTGCCAGAGCGAAAAGAGAGCAGAGCTCACCACTACACCTGCATCTCGGCGGCAGAGCGGCGAATTCAACGCGCAGTTCAAACAAATTAAGCGGCGAATATATCTTTACGCACAATATTGCATTTTGTTAACAATAAACCAGGAGCTCTTGCTTTTTGAAAGTCATGGGCCAACTTTTTATTTTGCATTGCATTTTTATAATAAAATCAACTATAACTTGGCCAAATAAATGCTACGAAAAGCAAGACACACACACTCTAGTAAGAAGACTGCAGCTGCGACGGCGGCGACTGCGAAAAGCAATGCATACACAAGGCGAAAAAAAAGAGAAAAATTCCGTTCGCAGCAATTTGCATTGTTTTTTTCGTATGTTTTCCCGAAACGTTTTTAGCACTTTTACAAATTCATTCATAAATTTTGTGCACAGCTTTATGGTGTTTAAAGCGACACACCGTCTGCCGCTTTTAACTGCTTGCTAAATGGCTTTGTTTTTGGTTATTACTTCGCTGAGGCAGCATTCGACATCGCTTTTTTTGTTTACACACGGTTAATGCATTTTTGCTCGATTTAAAATGTACAATTAACAAAAATATTTACAAGCGCCGCTTCAAGCGTCCGTCTGTGTTTGTGATTTCGCGGCGAATGAGCGTAGAAAGCAAAGAGCGCGACAACCGCAAGCGACGGACCGTGTTACAAGTGGAAACGAAACAGCGAGAGCGAATGAGTGCGACGAGCGCGAGAGAGGCGCGTTTGACAAGCAGACAGATGAATGGTCGCCGCTTTGGCTATTTTGTTGTTTTTGTTGTTGCCACGCACCGAGGTTTGATAATTGCCCAGTTTTTGCATTGCACTCCCTCCTTGCTTGCTGCCTTTTTTTTGTTTTATTATTATTTTAGCTGTATTAATCACTTTAATGAGGCAACGTTTAGCCCGCTAAGGTGGAGCCCACTCTCTGTTCGCTAATAACTGTAATTGCGCACTCTTCTTTCCGCTTTCAGCTGCCTGCCGCCGCTTGCCTTTCTTTCTGTCTTTTCCTCGTCTCTCTGTGCTTTTTTTTCTGTTGTCACGCATCGGCAGGCGACAGATGTGCGCTCTTATCAGGAGAGGGGGAGAAAGGAGGTGGGGTGTTGGCAAAAGGGGTGGGGGGAGTCTGCGAATGAGCGTTCGCAATTTATAACAAGCAAGAAATAAAACAAATAGCCACAGCGCCTTAGCGTTACAGTGGAGACTGGCTGAGGGAATAAGAAAAGTACTAAATAATTGTTCTTTTAGTTCTACGCATCGATATTTACAATTTTAAATTGTTTTGACCTAATAAGACATTAAATTCACAATCATATCAAATATACGTTGCACTGTACAATTTTCTGCCTTTGTCCTGTTCTTCTTCAACTTGGGCTTTGCCGTTGTTGGCTTCGGACCAGACCGCACAAGTGGAAAGGAGAGGTCCTTGCGGGGGCGGGGGGTGGGAGCGAGCGAGCAATATGATTCGGGCATTTGTCTTTGACACTGCCACACTCCGCTGCCACTGCCGCTACCACTGCCTCTGCCAACGTCGCGGGGGCGGCAGCGCTGCTAGCTTTGACGCTAGCGACTGAGAAGGTGTGTGCGTTTGTTGCTGTTCTTGTTGTTTTCTTTCTTTGGTTTCTTTTTATTTTGTTTTTTGCTTTTTTCGCTGTGTGTGGGTTTGTGTTTGTGTGATTTGCCTCGTTCGCTCTTGCTTCCTCCTCCTCGCTCCGACTGCCATCAATATTTTGTGAGTGACAGCGGCGAACAAATGTGAAATTCTTCTCATATTGTGCTGGCGTCACTCCACCGGTGACGGCCACCGCCGCACTCCTCCCCCTCTATCACTCTCCACCTCCTCCAACCCCCCTACCCTTTCGCTGTTTGCTCTTGATTATCTTCTCTTTCTAGCTCAATTGGCCGACTGTCTGTCCATCGCTCATGAGTTTGCTTTTTTGTTTTTTCTTTTTGAGTGGTTTTTTTATATTTTTTTCTGTGTGCTTGGATTCGTGTTATATCTTACACACACTTGTGTAACTACACACTCGCAGATAGCGCCGCCGTTTCGTTTGATTTGCCATTAAAAAACAGTTTATGTTTTTTGCTGTGCTTTTTATTTTGCCTTTTGCCCGGGTCAATAAGTTTGAAAAGCTAATCAATTGTTCAACAAAAAACAAATACAATTGAACTTTTGTAAGACAACGTTTTTCAATTGTTTAAGTGTTTAAATTTTCTATGCAATTATGTAGGTTGATAAATAAACTAAACATTTGAGGGATATATGTACATATGTACATACTTCGATAAAAAATAACTCATTTATAAATATTATTCTTTATAACCTACACATTTATATTCCTACATGTCTGGGTTACTTTCCCTTGACTGCATTTCAGCCAAGTTAGCAATTGTGGTTTATTTACCATTTTAAAGCCAAGGAAAGGCCTCAATTTAATTCTTTGGTAAATCGTTTTATTGGTCAATTTGATTAAATTAAACGATTATGAATATTTTATGCCCATGTCGGTGGTGGTGTGTGTTGCATAAATAAAATTCACAAATTCAGGCCGGAAAATGCACAAAAAGCATTTAAGGAAAGAAAAGCTTTAAAGGCAGAATGAAAATGCCGGCGGAAATAGGAGGTGACTAGGGATTAAACAGCTTAGATCAGGTGAAAGGAGATGTCTATGCACAAGGTAAAGGTATTTAAATGTAATGTTAAAGTTTTATGTATAGAAAGAGCTTCTTGCTGACTTTTAAAATTTATTTACTATAGATCTTATTAAGGGGGGGGTAAGGTTAATTCGGTGCAAAAATGCCCACTTTTCAAAAAAATGTTGTGGCGAAACGGCTAAAGCTAGCTTAACGAATTAAATACCATATAATAACAACATTTGAACAGTTTGTGATAAATTTTGTATTGAAAAATATTTAGAGGTAGAGGAGTTATAGGGAATCTCCCGAGTCGCCTCCAAAAAAAGTTGGTTTGCGGTGTACATCCTAACTGTCCACAGAATCATCCGATCTACAAAAATTATACCTCATTCGTTAAAGGATAAGTGTCCCGAGGTATTCTCGAAGCGTTTTTATTTTTAAAATTTTTTCCCTATTTTTTATCAAAATTTGAAGTCAAAACCCCGATTTTTGACTAAAAAATTAAGTTAATTTGTTAAATAAAAAATATAAGAAAATTAAAAATTAAAAAAAGCTCGACGAGAATACCTGTAGAATTATCTAAAGAAGTTATGTTCCAAATTTCAAACCGATTGGTTCAGTATATTTTTAGTTATCGTGTACACCGATTTTCAAAATGGCATTTTTCAGGAGAGCGCTTTAAACTTTGTGATTCTCATGCATTGAACACCAACCGACCTTCGTTCAGCTCCGCATAACTTCGTCAATTTTACTATGATTGATGTAAAACTTGGACACAATATTCTTAAGATATTGAACTTTTAAAATAAAAAATAAAAAAAAATTTACGAAAAAAAAATTAAATACCTTACCCCCCCCTTAAAGACAAGGAGCAGGCTCCGTCAGCATCCTTTATCAACATTTATTTAAGTCTAAAATTAGTACAGAATTCTAGCTAAAAGCCTACAGTATTATTAAATCGAATTTTACAGCGTCGTTACGAGCTTTAAAATCCGGAATCATCGAAGGAAACTCGGACCCAGGCGCTGTAATTGATTAATAAAAAAAAACATGGAGCTGGAAAAGCAGGGGGAGGAGACTGGGAACTTGTTGCACTCGATCTGAGGGCGTTGCAAAAGTGTTTGGAAGAAACAGGGAGTGATCAAGTAGAAGGGGCAGGGCCGAAGAAACGAGACTAAAGATCGCGCCAGACGATGACGCAGACTGTGCAGGCTGTAATTGCTGCTGGACGTTGATGGCAGGGGCAGGGAAATAATGTCTGCAGTTGTTGCTTTTCGAGTCCAATAACCTCTCATTCTTCTGCTCACTCACTCACTGAAGACTCACAATCTGTACTTCTTTTTTACCACACCGCGAACAAGAAGTCAAACGTGAATAAGAAAAATAGAGGCAAAAAAAAGTGAACTGAAAACGAGAAAAAACAACAACAACGCTAGAGACGCCAACATAAAAATGAGCAGTCCCAATAGAAAAAAAGATGAGTAGTCCCCAGGCAGAAGAGTCTGAAGAAAGCCAGAAGAATTGAGCCCCATCCATGAAATCCAAAATCTCAAAGAATTCCATACATCATAGAACAGAAACAAAAAAGAAGGAAATGAAATGCAGGCTTGCATTTAAAAGTTATGTTCAATTTGTAAGGTAAAAGCCTAAATTATCGGGGAAAGAGCTACAGATAATATCTGGGAAACTCATTTATGTAAGTACATAATTGTTGTTTAAAAAACCCTTGCTCATCTTTTCTAATTATATAGTGAGCTGAGCTGCCATTGCATTTGTAAGCTCATTCTGTTTAAATTTAATGTGTTAAACAAAGAGCTTGTTAAACAATTAAAATATGAATATTACTATATGACTATTATATTATCTAGAGCTTTGAGAACCCATTATATAATTAATTCAGACTCAAATAACTTAATTTTGCACAAGG